ACTTGTGTCGCTAAAGTTTCGTCGGAACGAAGTTACGGGAAGTTAATTAACAAACGGAAACGTAACAATACGTATTTCATGTGGTAAAAAATTAAGATGCATACTGAGAGACATGTATGACAATTAAAATTCCAGACACCTCCAAAACGTGTTTATGTATAAATATTACTCAGGAAGCGAATACAACTTACATTTTACTTCATAAAAAAAGGTTCTGAAAATGATCTTAGAAAGAATAATTTATGTTGCAGTAATATTTGACCTACATGTTTGTAGTAAGTATTATAGTTAATATTCATAGTATGTGTATTTATTAAATCACTTGTTTCATTTAAAAATTTATTATACTATCATTACTATTTTCTAATATGACACACAAAAATATTCCACAAATTGCTCTTCACATTATTTCTACCATATTTAGAAAACTTTGGTGCATTTTAAAAACAAACAAACAATAAAATACTTTAACATATAAAAAATTTCGTATTAAATGCACTAAAAAAACTTCAAAATTAAAAAAAATAATGATTGTACCTCTTACTGCCATGGCAGCTTATTAAATATATAATACTATAGGCCCGGCATGGCCGGGCGATTGGGGCGCTCGACTCACAATCTGTGGGTCATGGGTTTGAGTCCCTGTCACACCAAACATGCTTTTCCTTTCAGCTGTGAGGGCATTATAATGTGACAGTCAATCCCACTATTCGTTGGTAAAATAGTATCCCAAGAGTTGACAGTGAGTGATGATGACTAGATGCCTTCCCTCTAGTTTTACACTACCAAATTAGGGACAGCTAGTGCAGATAGCCCTCATGTAGCTTTGCATGAAATTCATAACAAATCAACCCATAATACTATTAATATATCACAAGTGAGAAAGAGTTTTTGGATAAACTTAAGTGATAATAAAATTAAGGATTTCAGTAATTAAGCTCTTATGACTTATATTTTACTATTTTTAAGTGTGATAGTAATAGAAAATGGGCATTTAAAATTGGTTTTATTTACACCAAATCTTTGAAAAATTACTTTGGTTAACTAAATTGTCACTTTTGCTTCTAGATAGAAGCATTGTATAGTCAGCTTATAGATAAGCACATCATGCTGCACTGTATTTATACACAGAATAATTAGTTAAGAATTCATTCTAAATGAAAAAAAAAGTTTTGTTTTTAGTTATGCTTATGTTTAGTGTAAAAACTGCAGTTCCTTGTGCAAATATGCTCATACACGTTTCACTTTCTTCTTTCTCAGAATGTGGAGGAATTGTTGACAACAAAGGAGGAGTTATCACCATGATGAACATGACAAACAACAGTGAATTTCAACTTTATGATTGCATATGGTTAATTCACCAAAAAAGCTTGCATGTGTATGAGACTCATCTTTCTGTTCAAGTTGCACAGTTTGAGTTTATGGGTGAGAATACGTTTTAGAAACTTAAAAAATATGCAATAATATTTTTGTTTCATTATTGATGGAGAATAATGTAGTTTTGAATAATTAAAAGCTAGTAATTGGCTTGATAATTCTCAAATTCAGTGAAAATCGTAATGGTGGTATTACATAAATCTGTACTTGTATGTGTATGTATATATATATATATATAAATTAAGCCTTAAAATTATTTTATTTAAAAATTCCATTGCAATTTTCTAGTTGTAACCTTAAAGTCATAATGGAAATTGTCTGGGGAATATCCCATCTCTCAGTTCCTGGAGGTTGGGAGTAATCTATTATAGAATTTGTAGTGTTGTTCTATTGTTATTCTTCTACTTTAAGAACTATTAGAAATTTTAAGGTCAGAGGTTGGGAGGAACTTTTAGTAGAAATATATTCAGGGTGGTCTTATTATTTTTTTCTACTTTTAACATTAGAAGAACTTTTAAGGGTAACTGCCTTAACACAACTGGCTGCAGACAGTGAAAGGCAGTAGGAGTTGAGACATTGTGGGTATAAGTATATGACTGCTAACAAGTTTTTCATTTTGTTTGGATTTTGTCTGATAGATGGGATATCACCAACACCTTTGGGTGCTATCACCACAGACAGTTTTCATTGTGACTTTAAGGTTACGACTAAAAAATTGCAGTGGAATTTTAAAATAAAAATAATTTAAAGCTTAGTTTATATTAAATTCATTATTATTTTATAGTGCTGATTTTAAATGCCTAGTTACAACTAATGTAATTAATATAATAATAGTTTTGAAGCTATTTTCTTTACTATATATATAGAGAGACACACACATAGTATATGTTAAGCTGGTGATTAAACTTGAAAATAAAAACAGTTGTTATATTTCAAACTAGCAATTTAATTTAATTCAATCCTTCATTGACAGTAGTAATTGAGTTTGTGTAGGTAGAATATCAGTTTAAATTATTAGTTGATTTTATTAACCAACTTAATAAAGGTATCAATCATTAATTGCTAGTTCTTTCCTCAATATATTCTCTTTATTATGAATATGTAATAAGATTTTTTTATGTTGTTCTAAGCTAATTGTCACTAATCAAAAGTAATTAGATGATTTTTTTTTCTTAATGATTTTATTTTGAATAAGTAAGAGTAGCAAATCAAAGTATATCACTCAAACAAATATCTTAACTCCGTTTTTTTGACAGGATCCAAATCTGTTTTAGAGATTCGACAAGGTCTAACATCCAAATCCAAAATGCTTGAGTCTGTTACAAGTTTTCAGTACAACAAGATAATTCAAGGAACTGAACACATAATTCCAGCACATGAAGGATTCTATATTAGACTTCAAGGATTTTTCAACAGCTCATCTCGGATAGCAATTGTTTATACTACATTTAGGTATGAGGGTGAGTATCATATTGTTCTATTGTCCTTTTTTCTTTGGAGGGTTCTTTTAAAGTATCTGGTAAAATAATTCAACATACAGTCCACGTAACAGTAGCAAATTAATATTATTTACTCCTTAGCATTTCTTTACAGGCTTGTGCACTTTGTAGTAAGCCTGTGTTTACAGTCATGGTATCTTCACTACACTAGTATAATAACCAATTTACTTGTACCAAGTAACTCACAGGCCAGTACACAGAGTGTTTGAAAGGGGGTTCTAATTTGTAAGATTAAAATCCAACATATATTGTGCTAAGCACAGTCAGCATGCAAAGCAGGCTAATGCTACAGAGTCTGGGGGCATGAGATTACTTCAAGCCAAAAAATGCTAATGCTTCATCAGAAGAATGTAGACTATGTATAAAACATTAAATACTATAAGCAACTGTTCTATAACTGTATAAGCATAATTTTTTTTTACATCACAAACATACGGGGCTCAACTGAACCCCTTGACACCCCCCCCCCCTCAATGCATATGGCTCACCTGTATTCATAATCTAATCCTTCTTCTAGATATTTCACAAAGCCTCTCATTCGTTAATATCCCAAATAATCTAGAGCTAATGTGATCTTAACTGATGTGCCCTCTACAACATTAAAAATATAGCTTATAACACTGACCCTTTTCTGGATTATGAAGTCCCTTGAAAAGTCCTAGTACAAAAATAAGACCTATACTAAACTGTACATTCACCAAGTCTTTTTGATGGTTTTCCTTTCTGAGACACATGATATACAGATTGGATGGCATTTTGTCTCTTGTTGTCATTAGTCATCCTGTTGCTGGAAGATTTCTTCTTAGATAGGTGGTTCACTAAATCCATGGGAAGTATCATCTTTGATGATTGCCCGGAAATAGTCTCATCAGGAATTCCAAGCTCCTCTGGAGGTTAAGGTTCTGTTGACAAGTTCTTCTCTGGAGTTAACCAGTTGGCCATTCTCTCAAAGACAATCAATGTGCATGACCTTTGGCTTGGTTCACCTGTCCTTCTGGATACTGTAAACCACATTATTGATTCTTTTCACCACAGCATTGGGTCCCTCTCTCTCTCTACCTACTTAACTTTGGAGTTCTTCCTTTCTCACAGCAAGGATTATAAAGCCATATCATGTCATCTCGATAGAATCTAGTTTTATCAGCATTAATATCTAGCAACTTTTCACTTTATCCCTGACTAATTTAAGTGTTTATCAGGTAAAGCCATGTATGATGTTGATGGTGTTCCTTAATTTCTCTGCATATTCTATGCAAGGCTCTTCTTAGTGACTATTCTCCAGAAGGTCCAATGGCACTTTAAGTTCTTTCCTGAAAATCAATGATGACATTGTGTTGCTGGTAGCTTCATGTATTGCTGTATGATAACTCATCAGTAACAATGAAGGATCTTGATTACACATTTTTTTATGTTCATCCATTTACAGGGCTAATTAATTTAACAGTGTGCAGCCCAACATACCATTAGAAGATGGATAAAGGGTTGTTGTCCTGGTCTTTTTAATCTCAAGGACCTGACAAATTTCAACTCCTAGTGGCCCATTATTATGTTTGAAGGCTTATAATGTTAAAAATCGAGTTCAAAACTCCTTGTGAGCATGGCACAGGTAACCTATTGTGTAGCTTTGTGCTTAACAACAAACAAATATTTAATGCTTTCTAATGGTTTAGCAGTAAGTCTGCAGGCTTATGGCATTAAAAATTGGGTTTTAATACCCAGGGTGAGAAGAGCACAGATAGCTCTTTGTGTAGCTTTGTGTTTAACAACAACTATCAAACCAAACTGACATATTTCTATAAACAAGTCTCATTCAAAGTTTCAACCCTGATCCAAATGAAATTCCATAGACACACTAATTCTTGAGACAAATCACTTGAGTTTCTTCAAAATAGTTTATGCTTTCTGATTAGAAACAGTATATGCTTTAGGCTATTTGGTGAAATAGTCCATCACAACCATGATGTATCTATTTCCAGTGTTATTCTGTGGCAGAGGGCCAAGCACATCAACAGCAACTCTCTCTAGTGGTACTCCAAAACAGGTCCACTTCTGTCCATGATGTTTTTCTTTTGTGGGTCATTTTGCTCACAGAAGAGTTCATATGTTTTACAATAATTCCCCACAAAGCCCAAGCTCACAACCCAGTAGAAGCATCCTTTTATTCAATCCAATTCTTCTTAACACCCATCTGTCTAGCTGTTGGAAAGTTGTAGAGATGACAGAATGTAAAAATTGGGGAAACACCAACTGTAGTTGTTGTCTTTCTCCACTGGTGTCATTATGGTTCTGACATAGTAAGTCTTCTTGTAAGCATAAGAAATCCCATTGTACCCAATACATCTTTGTTTTTGGGCTGCATGGAGAAACTGTTTGTCATGAGGACTTTTCTGTGCTATTCTTGAGCTACTGAATATTTGGTTTTAAACTTATGTCTACTTCCTGAGCATATTTCACATGAGTGGTGGACCAGGTCATTTCCTCAACATCATTTTCTGGATGCCATATCATGGACTACTTTGCTGTACCTTAGGTTGTTAGCCTTTTATATCTTTTTCTTCCCTCTGTTCACAGTGTTTACACTTTTAATTAGCACATGGTCTTTGATATAACACATCAGCATTTATATAGTTCCATACAGGGAGATACATAATGTTGAAATTGTACTCTTGGAGTTTTTGTACCCATCTTGTTATCTGGCATTCAGGGTTGGACAAATTCACCAGCCACTTCAATGCTGCATAACTGTTCAGAGTATAAACTTATGTCCATATAGATAATGATGGAAGTGACTCAGAGCTTAAACAACACTTAGCATTCTTTTCAAGTTGAACACTATGTTCTTGCTGTGGCATTCATTGCTTTGGTATAGTTGGCACTCTCTTGTTCTTTTTCATGTTGTGACAAAATTGCTTACACTGCAAAATCATTGACATCTGTATCTAAAATGAGTGGATATTCTGGAGTTGGGTATGCTAATACAAGAGTAGTGATCAACTCTTACTTCAGTTTGCTGAATGCTTGCTTACATTCAGCAGTCCAACAAAACCTATTTGGCTTCTCAAGAAATTTGTGTAGAAGATGAGCTATGTCAGAGAAAGATTTTATAAAATGAATATAGAAAGAATATAGTCCAAATAATCCTCTTAAGTTATGCAGGCTGGTTGATGTAGGCTAATTTTAGACAGAATCAGTCTTCAGTAGATATGTAGACATTCCTTTTTCTGCTGACTATGTGTCTTAGAAATTTCATCTGTTTATAGAGTAATTCACATTTTTTTGGATTCAGCTTACAATTCTCTTTCTTCAACTGATTTAAACCCTCCTTAGCCCTTCATAAGCATTATAAAAGGCTTTCCCATGAGCATTACATAATCTAAATAGTAACACAGCAATATGTCACAGTCCATTTCCTACAGTAAAGACTCTCTTCTCTCTATTTGCTCTGTCAACTTGACTCTTGAAACCCAATGTTGAAAACCATTTCTATTCAAATGAACATCTAAAGTAAAGTCAATCCTTGGCAGTGGGAAGGCATCCTATTTGTAACTTTATTCACCTTCCAGTAGTCCACACAAAACCAGGTAGATTCATACTTCTTTTTCAAAGGTATAATAGGTGATGCCCCAGAGGCACTTCTTGTTCTTTCATGGTTTATATTTCCTTGAAAGCCTCAGGCAATTTTGCAAGTGGAAGTTGTCTGGTTAACTGATGTATTGAGGCTGTATCTCCTGTATCAATCTTCTGAGATATTTTACTCTTGTTTGACCTAAGTCATGTTGATATGCCATCAGTAAGTTGTACTGAGCAATTGTAACACTTCTACAGCTCCAGTCATACAAGTCTTGTTAGTGAGGTGGTGAGCTGTCTGTATGTGCAGGTTTGACATCATACTTTCTAAATATTTCCTCAAAGATGATGAATAATTCTGATGTTCTTTGATATGGAAGTACTACCTCTACAGCTTCATATCTTGCAATATCCCATCTAGATTTTACTCCAATTTTTTGGTTTGCTGTGTTCATGACTCTGATGATGACATCTTTATTCTTCAATTCCACAAAAGTTCTACTAACCATTGATCCATCAGGACATGCTGGAGTGTTTGGTTCTTTTACAGCCCAGTCGCTAGATGTAAATTTATCAACAAGTCCTAGTATGAGTAGTTCACTTCTTGTTAGTATAATGACTACTCTCATTATTGTCATGGGAACTTCAAACTCTTTTGTAGTAATAGTTCACAGGACTTTCATACTCATAGACTAAGAAGATATTTGAAGCTAGCCTAAACTTGCATCCATGTTACCAGATGAAATGAGTTCTCAATATGCATTATTATTTACTGTCAATTACCCTCACATCATGAGGCATAGAGAAGTTTCCTATAGTAAGGGTAATTCTATTTTTCCTCTTGCTGGAACCTTATGCTCACTTGCTGTTTGCATCACTCTCTCTTTTTTCTTCATATCTGGAAACAGTTTCCCACCCTCCATTACCACATTTGGTCAAATTGTTGTAGCAGTAGAACCAGTGTTGATCAACATTCTGCGGGGCTTCCTGTCAATAAACCTGTAAGCCCATTGACTGGTTTCTTTAAGTATTGAACTTTTTATTTCATTTGAGGCAGATAAGGTATTCTTAGCAGAACTTGGCCTCATAAGTCCAGCTAATTCCTGTTTCCTGATGTCTGGCTAGCCCTTGGTTGTTCCTTTGATCTGGTTGAACATGAGGACTCATCCTTTGTGTCTTAACCATCGTTGATTCCTCACAATCTGGTTTGTAATGACCAGGTTTTTACTTCTATAATGATTCCCTCTTCCCAGTATCCCTTGAGAGGAGTTCTTATTCCTTATAATTAGTTGTATAACCAGTCCTTTTAGCTCTTCTAGACTGTTAACAATGTGAGTTAATGTTTCAATAATCGTCGATCTGGCAATCTTGTAATTTGAGATGCTGTTTTTAGTTGTTTATCTGTGACTTTAATGGATTCTAGTTCCATCACCAATTACAGATTCCATTAAGGATGTACACTTACTTTGATTCATCCTAATTCTCTTATCTTTGTTTGTTATAGCATCTATAAGTTGTTCATGTGACAATGAATCCATCATTTTACGAGAAATGTCTAGATATGATAGTTGGGCAAGCTTTTCCAAATATTCTGCAAGTTGAGCTAAGGTCTCTTCTTTCCTTTGTACCCTGTTCTGGAACTTTGCTCTGGATACATTTTTTTGGTGTGACCTGTCGGATAAAGCAGCCTACCAATGCTTGGTAGCTGTTATGGCTCTCAGCTGAAGGGTTATTACTTAATGTTGTTAAAGTTAGTCCTTTTAATTGGACAATAAGATGGTAGGTTGTTGCTCACTATTCCACTCATTGTTTCTGGAAACGATTTCAAATTGAGCCTGGTATAACTCCTATATTATCTTCCCATCACAGTCTGTTGGTGTTTCTACTGGCTGATGTTAAACTGGCCAACTAAGTTTAGAAACTGGATTTGGTATTGTCCTGGCTGGAATAGTCCTAGAAGGTCCTTTATCAACATGTGATAGATAACTTAATAGATAACTAAATAACTTATCTTATTCCATATTTTTATAGCCAATGGCATTCTGGGCTGGAAGTCCTAAGCCAATGCAGAAAGAGCTTTGGCTGGTTTGATCTTCACATCAATAGATGTTTTATTCTGTCACCAATGTTCTTTTCTACCTTGATGATGGTCTTTTCTACTTCACCAATTTTGTCAGTACAACCTTGCTGTACTTTTTCAACTTTATAATTACAGCCTCTCTGTAATTCTTTGATTCATGATGTCAGAAAAACACATAGGTTCAGGAAGTCTTGATACAAAGTGATAAAAAACCCTTTAATCTGAGTGCTTTCGAAAGGTGGACCTTTCAAAAGCTCTCAGATTATAGGGTTTTTATCACTTTGTATCAAG